AGAAAAGGTGTTCTCCATCTTCTTTATAGAAGCCCTTCAAGTATTTGAAGACTGCTGGAATGTCCCCTCTTAAGTGCCTTTTCCACAAACTGAACATGCCTAGCTTCTTCAACCTCTCCTCATATGATGTGCCTTCTGAGTACTTAATCATTTTTGTTGCCCACCTCTGGACTCTCTATAACTTCTCAACACCCTTTTTAAAATGTGGAACCCAAATCTGCATGCGGTACTCAGAATGAGGCCTAACCAAAGCCAAGTAAAGAGGCACTATCACCTCCCATGTCTTGCACCTACTACTTCTGTTGACGTGTCCCAAAACCACATTCACTTTTTATGTAGTTGCATCATACTACAAACTCATGTTGTCTCTGATCTACCAAGACTCGCAAATCTTTATCTGTAGGGCTGCCATCTAGCCAGGTGTCACCCATTTTGTATTGTATTTTTGATTATTCTTCCTGAAGTGTAACACCGTTCATTTGTCAACATTGGACTTCATCCTGTCCAACTTTCCAATCTTTCAAGATCTTTCTGAATTGCAGTTCCATCCTCCAGCATGTTCATAATCCTTCCAAGTTTCATCTTGTCTGTAGGCTTACTTAAGAAGCTCTCACTTCCAGTATCAATAAACATGTTGAACAGCACTGGACCCAGGACAGACCCCTGTGGGATTCTGTTTAAATCTCCTGCCATTCTGACATGAATCCATTTATAAATACACTTTCCTTATGACTATTGAGTCAGTTGTCTATCCATATTTTAGCAGTTTTGTCTAGCCTACATTTCTCCAATTTGTTTATGAGAAGGCCATGTGAGATCTTGTCAAAAGCCTTGCTAAAGTCCAGATACGCTATATCCATAGGATTCCTTTCATCCACCCAAGTAGTCACTTTGTTGAAGATCAAGTTTGTTTGATATGATTTGTCCTTAGTAAGTCCATGCTGGCTGCTTGTGATCAGCCTTTCCTTTTCCAAATGGATTTCCTTAGGATATGCTCCATTAACTTCCCATGTATTAAAGTGAAGCTAACCAGTCTGTAGTTCCCTAGGTTCTCCTTTTTTCCCTTTTTCAAAGAAGGACACTACATTAGCCCTTTTCCGGTACTTGGGTACCTTGCCTGTCTCCCATAGCTTAGTGAATATTATTGCCAAGGGCTCTGAGATCTCAGCCAGTTCCTTCAGTACCTTGGGTATGAAGTTCATTAGGCCTTGCTGACTTCAATTTGTTTATATTCATCAAAAGCTGTTGGTCACTTTTGTTATCTCATCCCTCAGCTTGCCCCTTCTTTACCCAAAAGATCATTATTAGGTATCTCAATAAAAACACTTTTTTGACTGTGTGAAGACTGGGGCAAAGTACCTATTGAGGAACTCTGCCCTCTTTGCATCTTCTGTTAAGTTTTCCTCCTGGTTATTTAACAGCGGGCCCGTAGCTTCCTTGGTCTTTCTTTTCTGGTCAACATAATATAATTGTTTTAAATTAGTTGATTGCAACAGCATTAAAAAATCTAGGTCTAGAGTTGGTTTAAATCTGTCATATGCGGGAGGAGTATCCCAAACTTGTACGAGCCACAGATCAAGTCAGAAATTTGATAGCTAATTGTGTGTAACATTCAGTAATGCATGCACACATGCATAGTTTCCATTCCTAAGCTGTATTTAGGTATTGAGATGTGGAAGAAAAGTTCTGTTTTCATTCATGTATAAGCTAATGAAAGCATAAGATAAGCATTTGCAGTGTTTTCACGTTGTAGTGATAATGCGTGAGAGCCCTCTGCTGGGTGCCAGGTACAATGCAGGCTACTTGGAGCATTCACTTACAAAATCAAATTTTATTTCAGAATGAAGTCAATGCAATTAAATGGGACCCTTCTGGTATGCTGCTAGCATCCTGCTCTGATGACATGACATTAAAGGTAATTTTCCATTCATGGTGTTTAAAAAACATCTTGTCTCTGTTTGCATAATTTTCTTTCTAGAATGATTCTGTCATACTACTAAATACTGGGCACGTCTACATGTGCCCCTACAGCACCGTTGTTACTGTGCTGTCATTTAGTACTTTGAAAAGGCCCGTACTGCTGTAACAGCCTCTACTGTGCCAATGGCACATGGTTATTTTTAGCCACTACATCCCCATAGCAACATGCTGTACTGAGGGAGCGCACTGCTACAGCGACATAGCAGCAGTATCACAGTTTTTCCCCATGGCCACTGCATTGCTACGACAATGAAGCATCATGTGTAGACATGCCCACTGTGTGTGAATGGTATCTTCATCTTAGGATCCTGGAAGACATTAAAAGTATCACACAGTTGGAATGTGAGGAATTTTATGCCTTATCCCCAGAATTGCATGTTCTGCCATGCCAGATGTATGTAGCAGGATGCATGTGATTGGAATTGGTGATAAAACTTTTCAGATCCCAATCACCCAACTGTGGAGAAGAAAGCTCTGCATGGGGAATGGGTCACCCATGCTGGGCTGCATTGGCACTCCTTCATAGGCACTTAAAAGGTTCAGGTTCTGGAACCAGGACTGGGGGCCGCCTCAGGAGATCTGGGACCTTGTGGTGATCAGCACCAGGTCTCAGACTCAGGATTCAGTGCTACCTCCAGGGATTAGGTGGTCCCAGTGGAAATGTGCAGTTGGGACTAGGGAGCCCCTTGATCCCCACCTGCATGCACCCCAGTGTGGACTGGCAACTGAGGAGCTCCCTAATAGCCATGAACATGCACCCCAGCCCATTCTGGGGTGCATCCAGCTGAGCACTGGGAAGTCCAGGTCCTCAGCTGTCCTTGTTATATGGACCCATAGAATCACAGAAAATTAGGACTGGAAGGGACCGCAGGAGATCATCTAGTCCTACCCCCTGCTCAAAGCAGGGTCATCCCCACCCAATATCAAGCTGCATAGAATAGGTTTAAATATTTGCACACCAGGGGAGCCAATAAGTTCTCTGTGCAGGGTCATATAAAACTATACCAGATAGCCCAATGCTACATGCTATAAATTCATTCATTCAAATTAGGACATGAAACAAATAGGCCACAGAAATATTATACATTAAACGTAGAATGTCCTTGTGGCTTGTTTGTCATTTTATCATGCCATAAATTCACTGATTCAATGTTAAAATTTATAGCATGATAAATACATTAATCGCTCCATGCCAGCAAAGCACGCCTAGTGGGGATTTAGCTATGTCACCAACCAGGGAGTGTAATGTATCTACTCTAACAAGTGAAACAAGCTATACTGTTGCAGTTTTGCTAGTATAGGGGTATCTACACTAGGGTTTCTGCCAACACATCTCTATCAGGCAGGGCTCACGTTTCTTCACAGCCCTGTTTCATATAGTTATTAGGCCTGTGTGAAGCAGCTAGTATTCACTTCGGATTCGGTCGATTAGGGGGAGTGATTCAATTCCATGATTCGAACCACTGTTGTGAATCGATTCAGCAGAATTTGATTCAGAGATTCAGCTGTGGCCAAATCAACCAAATCTCCAGATCAAACAGGCCTCCCCCACCCACTCTCTCAGCCCCATCAATGGCTGCACCACCTGGTCCTAGCCTCTTGGCTCTTAAGAAAAGAAGCCCAGCACTCACCAGCTACTGCCAGGCGGGATGGGGTGATCCCCACTGCCCCCTACTGCCCCGCGCTGTTTGGGGGGATCTGTTATGAATCCCCATCCCCTACCTGCTCTCTCAGCTCTTTAAAAAAACAAAAAAACAACAACAAAACAGCCCCCACTCACCAGCTGCCAGGGCCATCCCCAGGGGGTGGCAAATTGGGACAATGACCCCAGTCCCCGCACTTTGGGGGGCCCTGCAGAGCCGGGTGGAGCAGCTACAGTGATTCCACGCTGCTGCCTACTTCACGTCCAACTGCTTAGCACACCCCCGCCCCCACCCCGACCAAATCCAGCACCTCCAGTTGCTCAGCACCCACCCTACCACCACCAAATCTGCCACTGGCTTCCTCATGTCTGCGGGTGGAGCCCCACAGAGCCTGATTTGCCCCGGTCCCCACACCCTGTTCAGGTCGCCTCTGCTGGCTACTGCCAGGCAGGGGGGGCGATCCCCACTGCCCTCCACCGCCCCATGCTGTGTGGAGAACTGTGCCATGAGCCCCTATCCTCCACCAACTTTCCCAGCCCCATCAATGGCTGCCCCACCCAGCCCCAACTCCCATCTCTTTTTAAAAAAAAAATGTTTTTAAAGCCCTGCACTCACTGGCTCCTGCCAGGCATGGAGGGCTATCACTGCTGCCCCCCACTGCCCTGGGCTGCGTGGGGGGCTCTGCCATGAGCCCCCAGAAGCCCCAATGCCTGCTGCAGCAGCCAGTGAGTGTGGGGATTTTTTTTTAAAGAACCAGGAGCTGGGGCTAGGCGGGGTACCCATGGTGGGGGGGGAGGCTGGGAGAGCAGGCAGGGGTCAAGGGGCACTCAGGGGGGCTGAAGGAGCAGGCAGGGGATGGGGCCTCACAGGGGTCCCCCCATGATCCCCTCCCCACTCCTCCAGCCCTCACCCCTCACCCCCTACTTAACAGGACAGAGTCTGGGTCCAGTTCCCTGCAGCATTGAGCAAGGACTGCCCAAATCTCCGAAGCTCTCCGAATCTGTTCCAAATTGATTCAGAGAGCTTCAAATAGATTCAGACCTTTTTATTGGTCTCCCAATTTGATTTGGATTCAGAGATTCGGCCACCATATCGGGCCAAATCTCCTCCGAATTGAATCAGCACCCGAAGCTTTGCACAGCCCTAATAGTTAGACCAGCAGAATTTTGTAACACAGAGATTGCCTCAGTTATTAGCAGTCTAAGCACTGTTACAACTGAAGTGGCATCTTTTAGCAGTACAATGCTCTAACCATCAGGCCACAGGTTAGGCATTGCCTTGTCACCTATTTAAGCCTCCTCTTGAAGCTGAGCCATTAATTGCATCTTGCATTTAGTTGATAACAGGGATGGAAAGCAGCGGGGAGTTTTCTGCTACAGTGCTTGTGCTGTGCCTGAGCAACTTCTGTCTCACCAAACCCCAAGCCTTCTAAGTTGCTCTCTTTCTCTGGACCCCATATATCTCCCTCTCTTGGCTGCCCAAGAAGCCAACTTCAAGAAGAGAGCTGGAGATATCTAACTTGTGTTCTGGTGGTTAGAGCCCCATGCTGGGAAGTGAAATGTAGGTTTTGGAAAGGGTTGTAGAGCCTCAGTCTTCTACTTCCTGAGCGAACACTAGACTATTTCCTAACCACTAGGCTTTTGGGCTAAAACATGGGAGGCCTCTCCTCTGTTACGAGTTTCTTCTAGGTAGAATCTCATGACTTAACTCACACATACGGAGCCACGTGCCTGTCCAGCAAAAGTACAGCCCACTGTAAATGCTGCATAGGGAGTCAGATCACAAACTGCTCATGAATGCCAAAAAATGGCAGTTATATAGCTAGGTAATCACCATTTGGGTATGTAAAGTAAAATAGAATTTGCCAGGGCAACTATAGGCCAGCCAGTCTCACCTCCATCCTTGGCAAAGTCTTTGAAAAAATTATCAAGGCTCACATTTGTGAGAGCCCGGCAGGACAAATTATGCTGAGGGGAAACCAGCACGGGTTCGTGGCAGGCAGATCGTGCCTGACCAATCTAGTTTCTTTTTATGACCAGGTTACGAAACGCCTGGACACAGGAGGAGGGGTGGATGTCGTATACTTAGACTTCAGGAAGGCCTTCGATACGGTATCCCACCCCATACTGGTGAACAAGTTAAGAGGCTGTGACTTGGATGACTACAGAGTCCGGTGGGTGGCGAATTGGCTGGAGGGTCGTACCCAGAGAGTCGTGGTGGATGGGTCGGTTTCGACCTGGAAGGGTGTGGGAAGTGGGGTCCCACAGGGTTCGGTCCTTGGACCGATACTCTTTAATGTCTTCATCAGAGACTTGGACGAGAGAGTGAAATGTACTCTGTCCAAGTTTGCAGATGACACAAAGCTATGGGGAGATGTGGACACGCTGGAGGGCAGGGAACAGCTGCAAGCAGACCTGGACAGGTTGGACAAGTGGGCAGAAAACAACAGAATGCAGTTCAACAAGGAGAAATGCAAAGTGCTGCACCTAGGGAGGAAAAATGTCCAGCACACCTACAGCCTAGGGAATGACCTGCTGGGGGGCACGGAAGTGGAAAGGGATCTTGGAGTCCTAGTGGACTCCAAGATGAACATGAGTCGGCAGTGTGACGAAGCCATCAAAAAAGCCAATGGCACTTTATCGTGTATCAGCAGATGTATGACGAATAGGTCCAAGGAGGTGATACTTCCCCTCTATCGGGCGCTGGTCAGACCGCAGTTGGAATACTGCGTGCAGTTTTGGGGGCCACACTTCAAGAGGGATGTGGATAACCTGGAGAGGGTCCAGAGAAGGGCCGCTCGTATGGTTAAGGGCCTACAGACCAAGCCCTACGAGGAGAGACTAGAGAAACTGGATCTATTCAGCCTCCGCAAGAGAAGGTTGAGAGGCGACCTTGTGGCTGCCTATAAGTTCATCACAGGGGCACAGAAGGGAATTGGGGAGTATTTA